TCAAAAAAAAAAAAAAAAAAACACACGTGGGAATTTATTTTTTAAATCCCATTCCCCTCTTCAAGCCTCCTCCTCTCTCACTTGGGAATGTTTTTAAGGGTGATCAGAAGTATCAGGGAGGCCAGGCATGATGGCACACACCTGTAATCCCAGCATTTAGGAGATTGAGGCAAGAGAATTGCTGCAAGTTCAAGGCCAGCCCGAACTACATGGCATGACCCTGTCTCCAAAAAACATAAGCAAAAGCAAAATAGGAAGGGTTGTAGCTCACCTCTGTAAAATAGATCAACCAAAGCCTCTCCTGGTTTTTTTTTTATCTCTTTTATCTTCCTCTCTCTTTCAGAGCCTAGTCCTCCAATAGATGAAGTTATCAACACTCCAGGAGTAGTTGATCGGTTTGTGGAATTTCTGAAGAGGAATGAGAATTGTACGTTACAGGTAAACCCCAACGGTACCTAAGTGACCAAATGGAAGTACTTCGTCCAAGAAATTTTACTGGGCTGTTTCTGTAAACATACTTCTTAGAAAATAGACAAGTAATACAAGGAAATATTTAAGGGAAGCTATCAGTTTCCTTTTTGTTTTTTTGTTTTTTTTTTTTCTTTTTGATACCGGGGATTGAACGCAGTTCCTTGTGCTTGCAAGGCAGGCAGTGGAACCACTGAGCCAAATCCCAGGCTCCTCAGCAGTCTTGACTTCATAAAAGAGCCAAGGGCTGAGGATTTATCTCAGTGGTTCCACTGCCTACCTCACAAGCACAAGGACCCAAGTTTGATCCCCAGTACCAAAAAAAAGAGAGCCAAAATCTCTTCTTTAAAACAATTTCAGCAATAACTATTTGAAGTAATACTTTTGTTAATTAGGTAAGTTTAACTGTTATCTTCCAATTAAAACTTTTTTGTGTGTGTAGCTCAGTGGTAGAGTACTTGCCTAGCATGCACAAGGCTATATAGTTCAATCCCCAGCATTACAAAAAGATTTTTTGTAATGTAGAAGGAAAGATACCAGAATATGACAGGCTGACCATTTCATTAGAGTCTGTTACACTTACTGTCTGCTTTGACTGAGGGAAATTGTTAGCCTCTCTGTCTCTCTTCTCAGAGATGGATGATAAATAAATCTATTTATTTAAATTTGCTAGATGCTCAGCTGACAGGGTCTATAAGAGGCCCATCTCACTCTTATCCTTGCTTTAGAAATGAAGAAAGTGAAGCTCGGGAACTAAAAAAGTGGCCCAAGGGCAACCCACTTTCCAGTCCCTTTTCTGTCTCTCTTCACAGAAGCAGTCTTTCTGTCTGGTTTAGTTTTTGAAGACAGGGTCTCACTGTGTAGTCTAGGCTGACCTTCAACTTTCAATTCTCTTGTCTTAGCCTCCTGAGTGCTGTTACTGTTGTGTGCCACCACATCTGGCAAGAAGTTCATTGCTTGAGCCACTAATAAATGTGTCTGCTTGTTGGGCATGGTGGCGCAAGCCTGTAATCCCAGCACTCAGGAGGCTGAAGCAGGAGGATTGTTGTGAGTTCTAGACCAGCCTGAGCTACATAGTGAGTTCCTGGTCATTCTCAACTACATAGTGAGACCCTGTCTCAAAAAACGAACAAACAAAAAAAATGTGTCTGCTCAGACTGGAATGCCCTTTCATTTATGGTTTAATCTCACTTTCAGTTTGAAGCTGCGTGGGCTCTAACAAACATCGCCTCTGGAACCTCTCAGCAGACAAGAATTGTTATTGAAGCAGGAGCTGTCCCAATTTTTATAGAGCTGCTTAACTCAGACTTTGAGGATGTACAGGAGCAGGTAATGCTCAGATTTAGCTTAATTCTTGATGGTACCAGTGGTATAACAATAACAAAAAATATGTTTGGTCTCTGTCGCAGTTCTTGGCATGGTGCAATTAAAGCTCTTGGAGTCTTCTGGGTGTTAAGACTGTCTGTTATTATTTATAGAGCTCCTTTGGAACACACTTGAGTTTATCTAATGAGGTGACTTAGAGAGAGCCTCTCAGTAGTCTTCAGATGGGTTTGGTCATCAGAAAGACCAAATACACCATTAGTGGGTAGGAACTCTCAGCCATACCTCCTCAGGAATTGGGAGTGGGAGAAGGGGGCCTGGAGATTGGGTTGTAAAAATTCTTTTTAAAAAATAAAACTTTTGGGTTGGTAATCACATCTGTGTGCTGGGAAGGTGGTGGAGGGTGTGTAATCTCTGCACTACCACCGCACCATAGTCTATACCTTCCCCTGTGTCTCTTTTCTCTTTAGTTGTTCCTGAATTATAGCCTTTATAATAAACTGGGTAAACATATGTAAAGTGTCTTAAGTTTTCTGAGTCTTTCTAGTCATTTATCAAAGCTGAGAGAATTGTAGGAATCTCCAGATTTACAGCTGGTTAGATTTACAGTGATTGTTGGGACTTGGAGTTAGTGTCCAAAGTAGGGATGATCTTGTGAGACTCACCTGTGGAATCTGTGCTTTAGTATCAAAATTGAGGTGTCAAGGATTTAGCTCAGTGGCAGTGTGCCTGCCTCACAAGCACAAGGTCCTGAGTTTGATCCACAGTACCAGCGGGGGGAATTGAATTGAATTATTGGATGTGCAGTTTGTGTCAGAATTAGTTGTTAGTGTGGGTGAAATGAATTCCCTACATTTAGTATGAGAAGTGGTGTTAGAAAAGAGACAGCCCTGCTGGGCGTGGTGGCGCATGCCTTTAATTCCAGTATGTGAGAGGCTGAGGCAGAAAGATCACTATGAGTTTAAGCCTAACCTGAACTACATAGCAAAAGCCTGTCTCAAAAAGTTTTTTAAAAGGGCCGAAGATTTAGCTCAGTGTTTCTGCCACCTGCTTCGCAAGCGCAAGGACACAAGTCCAATCCCCAGTACCAAAGAAAAAAGTTTTTTAAAAAGACAAGAGGGCCAAGGGATGTAGCTTAATGGTACCACACCTGCCTCTCAAGCACAAGGTCCTAAGTTCAATTCCTAGTCCCCCCAACAAATCAGAAAAGAGACAACACAGTACTTACTCAGATCATAGACATAAAGTTAAAATTTCTGTTTACCCCACTGAATTATTGCTGGTTAGACAGAAAATGCAGAGTGGTAGTGGAATCTTTCCTCCATTTCTATGTACAGAATTAGTCCAAAATGACTATAAGAATGTAACTTGGTGATTACTTTCTCTTTTCTAGGGTGAGGGTAGGGATGACAAGATCTGATTTGATTTGTCTGGCTGGCAGATAACAGGCAGCCTGTATTCCCCACTGAACCAAGATCTCCCAGGGGAAAAGTTCTTATAGAGCAAGTGCTCAATAAGAATTTCCAGGTCCGGGGATTCAGCTCAGTGGTTCTGGTGCCTGTTTTGCAAGCACAAGGACCTGAGTTCAATCCCAGTACCCCACCCCCCAAAAAAAAGAATTTCCAAAGGGAGGTTACCTGAGCTTGTTTAGTGTGTTTTGGGCTTTGACATTGCTCTCAGCCTGGTGGGTACCCTGTAGTACTGACTATAAAATAGTCACAGAAGCTACCAGGCCTTAAGGATGACAGTTCCATCATCCCCTTTTCAGGCAGTCTGGGCTCTGGGAAACATAGCTGGAGACAGTTCCGTTTGCCGAGATTACGTCTTGAACTGTTCCATCCTTAATCCTTTGTTAACGTGAGTAATTACAATCCCTGGCACCTGGGGCATTTGTAGGGTGGCCATATGACAAGTCATTTGGGGGCAGCTTACTTGATTTGTTAAGATGATAGGTTAAAAAAAGAAAGGTAAGTATAAAAACTGTAGAAAATGCATTCCAATCACCAAAGTAAAAGTTATCGTTTGAGAATAAGAATATTGTACCCCTGGTCTCTGTTAAGGAGGATCTTATTCTTTACCTCATAGTACTATGGAGCTTCATGTTGGTCATATCTGTCTTACTGAGCCAGGGAGAAAGGTAGGACAAGTCTGAAAAAAATCCAGCCTTCTCTATAGAAAGTATTGATATGGGATTATGCATAGCTACATTGGACAGTTCTATTGCAAATCATGAGTCAAAGTCCTCATGAAAGATCATCTAGGCTCCTCTCATCCCTCCCCAACCCCATACCCTTAGAATAAGCTACATCTAAAGGAAAAGAGGTGAAAATTATTCCATATTGCATGGCTAACACCCTCTCACTAGACCTTCAGCTTTTATTTCTAAAGAGAACACTATTCCATGTCCCCAGCTTGTACCTAGAAGCTTTGCAGACATACTCAAGAGCTAGCCTTCTGTTTTGTCTCTATTAGCTATGGTGTTAACTAGCCACAGTTGGTCTTCATCTCATGTGCAGAGGTCAGCCAAACTACTGTATTGATTTAGGTGTATGGGTAGGAAAAACAGGCTTCTAGAGTCTTATGGGTCTTACTGAATTTGTTTCCTGGGATTTGGTAGCATCAGCCTATGCCAGGGCACCAGTGCACAGGATCTGGCCTTGCTTTTCTCCTTCAGACTCCTTACCAAGTCCACAAGACTGACAATGACGCGGAATGCAGTTTGGGCTCTGTCAAACCTTTGCAGAGGGAAGAACCCACCCCCAGAATTTGCAAAGGTGAGAAAGCTGCCTGCCATCCCCTGCATAATATCAGATTCCATCCATCATACGGAATTTTTAAGTTGCATTCTCCTTAGAGCCTCAAATCATAGAAACCTGAAAGAGAGGCAGTTGTCAATGAGAAGGTGGTTTTGTATCTCTGTTAATAAAGTGAAGATTTGAAGATTTAATGTAGTAGAGATCCCCAGGATCAAGAATTATTTTTTGGAGAGATGGTAGCAGTGTTAGTCTTAGTGGTAGAACTGATGCACCCCTATCCACTGTGAGTCCTTTTCACTCTGCTTCCAACAGGTCTCTCCTTGTTTGCCTGTATTATCTCGCCTACTCTTCAGCAGTGATTCAGACTTGCTGGCAGATGCTTGCTGGGCCCTCTCTTACCTGTCTGATGGCCCCAACGAGAAGATCCAGGCAGTTATAGACTCTGGAGTCTGCCGGAGATTGGTAGAGCTTCTCATGTGAGTACAGGGGGTAAATGTTCCCTAGCTTCTCCATACTCTTACCAAAGAGCTGCAGCCATCAATTTGCTGGCTTTCCCAAAGGGTTGGAGTATGAGAATGTTGTCAGTCTGACTGATCAGCAGGGCTTAACATGGTATACTGGTCCCCCATTGATCAGATCTTCCTCCTCTGTAGGCACAACGATTACAAAGTGGCTTCTCCTGCTCTGCGAGCTGTGGGTAACATTGTCACTGGGGATGACATCCAGACACAGGTAAGGAAGAGGTGAAGAATCTTAATTCACTAGCTATGGGAGAGCATTATGGAAAGCTGCCAATGGACAAAATCCCTGCCTGATAGAAAATGGCATAGTCTAGCAGAAAGCATGGGCTTTCATAAAAAATTCCAGCTTTACCTCTCTATATGATCATGGACAATAAATCATCATCCAGTTGGTGCTTGTGAAAGAAAACTAAGTAGAATAACTGGGCTTACTGAGACATCATACGGTAGTTGTTAAATCTGAGTCATGATTCTTTTGAAATACTGAAAGCTATGGAACCCTACACCTACTTTCTAGATGTTAGGATCCCATGGACATTACCTCATGCCAATATCATGTCCTCCTAACCCAAACCCAGTGGCGTGCACTGAGGAGACTGAGACTGAGGATCTCTTGATCCTAGAAGTTTGAAACCAGCCTGGGAAACATAGGGAGAGCCAATTTCAAAAATAAGACCAATAAAATAAAAATCTCTCCGGTGAGGTAAACAGGGTTCTTCTGTTCAAAAGCTATAGTCGTTAGATCTTGAATAATTGTCATAATTCTGTGGGATTCTTGACAAATTTCTTATAAGTAAGCAGTCTCACTCAAATCTATACCCGCTTTTTCTAGAACATTTTATGTGCGTGTGTGCATGTGTGCATACACATGCACATTAAAATATAAATTTGTTGGGCCGGAGATTGAGCTCAGTGGTGATGCCACCTGCCTTGCAAGTACAGGACTCAAGTTTAATCCCCAGTACCACCAAAAAAAAAATTTTTTTTGCCAGGCATGGTGGCATACATCTGTGTAATCTCAGCACTTGGGAACCTGAGGCAGGATTATCACAAATTTGAGGCCATCCCGGACTATATAATGAATTCAAAACCAGCCTGAACTCCATGGTGAGACCCTGTCTCAAAAATAAATAAACAAACAAATAAATAAATAAATAGCATAAAATTTACCATTTTTAACCATTTCAAAGTATAAACTTCAATGATAATAAGTATTCAACTATCACCACCATCCATCTACAGGACTTTTAATTATAGACAAACTATATTGGGCCGGGGATTTAGCTCAGTGGTTCTGCCACCTGCCTCACAAGAGCAAGGACCTGGTTTGATCCCTGGTACCAAAAAAATTTTTTTTTATAAACTATACCCATTAAGAAAACCCCTTTAAAAAAAAGAAAGAAACCCTTATTTCCTATCCCCCGACCCTCACGATCACTATTGTACTTTCTGAGTTTGAGCATTATGGCTACCTCACATAAGTGGGGTCATACAGTATTAGTCCTTCTGTATCTGTCTTACTTCACGGAGCATAACATCCTCAAGGTTCACGTTCTACCATATTTCTCCCAAAATAACACTGGCTCTTACATTAATTTTTGCTCCAAAAGATTCAACAGGGCTTATTTTCAGGGGATGTCTTATTTTAAATTTCATGTATATCAATTTACATTTATTCATGTATAAAAATTACATTTATTCGGCAGTCATGTCATCTTCTGGAACATCGTCACAGCTGTCTAAACTGCGAATTCTGGTCTGAATTTCTTGCAATTTCATTTTCTATAAAACCATTGTCCCCAATTTCTCATGTCCAGCAGTAGAGCTCTCCTTAAGTGAGCACTTCTTTTTTTCCTTCAGTACCAGGGATCAAACTCAGGACCTTGCACTTGGAAAGCAGGTGTGGCACTGCTCAGCTAAATCCCCAGCCCAAAGTAAGCACTTCTTGTCCACGTAGGCTGCTTGTAGTGCATTGGCAACATAGCTGACAGTGATTTTATCCCATGAATTCTTCACCCAAATCACAGTCTAAAGTAGGTTAGGCTTCACAAAGTTTCCATGAAATCAAGTGTTAGTTGAAAACTAACACAACAAAAATGATGAATTAAGAATGGTGGTCCACGGGCCAGAAATGTAGACCAGTGGCACAGTGCCTGCCTGGCAAGTGCAAGGTCCTGAGTTTGATTGCTGGCACCAAAAAAATAGAATGATGGCCCACACACGAGTAACTAAAAATTGCAGGCACCAAAATTCAGAAAAACGTTTCTTTATTTCACACAAGTGCATTAAGTACCTTTTTTACAACACATGATGTATTGAATTATGAAGATTTATATTAGACACAACCACATCTGTTTGTTATCAAGTGCATACATTATTCATGTGTTGTGTCTACTTCAGTTGGTCATTTGGCAGTAAGTCTCCAGTTCACCTTTTTTTTTTAGTTTTTTTTGAGACAGGGTTTCGCTATGTGGCTGAGACTGACCTGGAACTCACTATGTAGCCCAGGCTGATCTCAAACTCACAGCGATCCTCCTGCCTCAGCCTCCTCTGAGTTCTGGGATTACAGGCATGCACCACCATACCCTGCTGCAGTTCACTTTTTTACATAGATGTTTACCTCTTAACCAAAGCATCTTGAATATTTACAAATACTTAATTTATGTTATCATTTATTTTAAATATTAATGTCAATAATATTACTTATTCATATATAATTATATATTAAAATTATAATGTAATACATCCATTGTGTTTTATAACATGTACTAAATACATCGTCTGACTATCTTAACTGGGGCTTATTTTGGGGATAGGGATTATATTATGAGCATCCTGAAAAAATCATGCTAGAGCTCATTTTCCAGTTAGGCATTATTTTCAAGGAAGTACAGTAGCAAGTATGAGAATATCCTTCCTTTTCAAGGCTGAAAAATTCACATAGATGCAGACTACATTTTTAAATTCGTTCTTTCATTGCCTGCAGACATTTGGGTTGTTTCTGCCTTTTCATTGTTTTACGTAATGCTGCTACTGACGTTGTATAATTGTTTCTTTAAGTCTGTACTTCTACTTCCTCTGCATATATAAACAAGTGGAATTACTAAATAATACGGCAATAACAGCCATCCTAATGGGTATGAAGTGATAATATCACGTTGTATACTTATTTGCATTTCCCTAATAATCAGTGATATGCATCTTTTTGTGTGTTTATTAGCTGTCTACATATTTTAGATTATAT